ACCAAATATTTTCCATGGAATATCCAAAAGCCAAAGCCAAAAGACTATATATTTTTCAATGTGATTTGGACTTCACTTGATGGAAGATGTATCCTCAGCCATATAACATTTAAACAAGATGCATTGTCGACCAACTCTTGATTTGGTTATTCCTAAATCCACGATTAAAGTTCAAGGCTTTTTCATCAGTAGACGGTGGTTCGTAAACCGGACGAAATTCGGTGTTCCTAACCACGCATTTAATTTTTTTTATAAAGACCCCGTCGAAAATATTGCACATAAACACAATCATTAATGAATTAATCTTCAAATGATAAAAGGGGAACACCCCCCCCCCCCTCCCCCCCGAGCTAAGTTGATTCTGACGTAATTTTATTGATGACAAAGTTTGAGGAAAACAATAGCAAAATAGATTACATGTAAATGGGAGCACGGGAGAAATTCAGATGCAATGAGATGAAGGGAGGGAGAAAGTGGTTGGGGCAAGGAAAAACTCCGAATACCCGAGTTTTCTCAAATCCATCTCGGAGTGAATTTGAATTTCTTACAAGTTCGTAACTTTGACGCGTTTACGCTTTCTGTTTTCGTTTTATTTTTATCAGGCACTTGAACTTGTTATTATTAAAATTAATTAAGGCCGCGACGCCGTTATAATTTTTCCTTACTTTAATATTATTCTGATGTAAATGTTTAGAACTAGCTGTGTAAGCGGCTACGTCCGCGTAGATTACTTATTTTGGGCATAATTTTTTTTTGCAAAGCGTTGGTCCCGTCGTTCTTGAAAGGTAGACATAGTATCGCGGACATTTTTTTTAGATCAATAAAAGAGGAAACATTCTTTCTTATTTATTTTTGTGTATCTTGAACAGTTTTCGGAGCATATGCATCGGAAACCTACAGAAATTAATAATTTTCCCCGTTTTTCCACATTTCCCGCTGTTTCTTCGCTCTTAGTAGTCACGCATGTTTTAAAGCCATATAGAATTTTTCAATTCGAACCAGATGTTCCTGAGATTAGCGCGTTTTAACAAAGACTATTTAGCTTTATATATTAGTAAAGATATAATTATTCAGTTCGTGTCACTGAGTTTTGAGTACGCAGTCAGTAGTCTAAACTAAAGGGTTAAAAAGCGGTCCATCATGACGTTAGGGACGCCCACTTTAATTAGTCCCCTATGACGAGGTGAAATTTCGGGTCACAGTTAAAATTAAATAGGCTGTTTTTCGCGTTTTAATCTTTCAGGTAATAGTGTAAAATTATTATCATTGTGTGATTCAATAAACACAGTTTGGCAAGAAATATCACTCGATATAATTTATTGTATTGTTAGTTATACTAAAAGCATAGTCCGCAGTTTATCTTAAGTAAGTACTTTTAACGGATTCAAACGTGAAATATATGTATATATTGATTTTGTAATCGGATGGGCCCGTAGCAGTCGGAACGTAATTACAAATAAGTTAAGTATAAAAAGTATCGTTTTAAACGGGTTTTTTTTTTATTGATAATTGCTGCAATATACTTATATACATTTTGCGTCGCTAGCGTACATCCCAAACAAGCAGTAGCTAGTGAATATTTTAAATTTATACTGAAAGACGAGACACCAAATCTTGATCAAATCCATATTCATTAGAGACCGTTAGTCAAGTTCGTGTGGCAAACATTGGTGATGCAAGGATGACGGATGTCTGTGAATCAACTTGACGAAGGCCGCGCGCCGGATGCTGCCGCAGTCAGCTGATAAACCTTATCGGAACCGCCAGGCCACGGTAATTACTTGAGCTCGCTATTTTCGATACGTATTGCGAAAAAGACGAGAATTTCCGGATATCACGCGACACGGAATACCGAATGAATGAATTTAAATATAACACTTCAACGTACAAACGCGATATATATATCAATTAAACTTATTTAAAAATCTATTTATGATGAAAAAAAATATTTTACCCGAAACGTCCAGACAATAATACGCCTTTTGAGACAATCAAAATTTTATAACTTTCTTAAATTTATTTATCGGTAAATTTGAAATCTAGACTGGCAGTGTATTATTAATACAATTCCCCGCAAATTAATTAGATATTTTATGGAACCTATATTTGGGGATAGCTGGGTTGTCCTTATTTCGTAAGTTCAAATGATGCCTAATACTATTCTTGCTGAACTTGCTTGTATTCATAAATATGTAATCTCTTACTGAATTTTCATGTTTTCACTTGGTTCCACGAATTATTTAAGTGTAAAGGCACAATCTATGACTCAAAAATATTATTTATATGACCTTATCAAATACTCTATCCTAGCTACATGTTGCAAATGAGACGATTAGATAAGAGTTTGTAAAGGTTTCGTGTTTATATTTTAAATTACCTATATTACAATTTCATATACATAGAGAAAACAATTTCATTTGGTATCATACATTTTTTACATTAAATATATAAATAACCGTAAAATTCACCGATTACATTTAATTTAAAAATAAGTTACTCGATACTTGAGATGATTTAGTAAGTTTCAGATGGCCAATGGAACCTCTTTGTTCAGCTAAGTTGTGCAAAAGGTTGGTGAGACAACAGGACGCGACAATATAGTATATAGGTATATTATAATTTATTAATTTACTGCATACATTAATAGCATTCAATAAAATTGGTACATAGTACATACCAATTACCAATTTATTTCAAATAGCGTTTATACTAAGGGGTTGACAACGTGAGGCGGTTTCATTATGAATATTATTTTTTATCAATTAATATACCTACCTAACTTCTTTTACTTTTCGTAGTACATAATAGATATAATGGCTAATTTAAAGTGAAAACTCAACCCCCCCCCCCCTATCTTCACCTTGACTTCCAACCGAAGTTAAGTTTCGTCGGAATTCGAACCACTCTATTGTGTTTAACGTAAATCTAGAAAAAGTGTATTATCTTATAACCACAGAGGCGGTGAAAACGATGCCTTGATTACAAATATCACCACAGATAAAAATTAAACAGACAAATACTGGCCCTTTCTCTGCCCTATAAGCGATCGGAAATAAAAATCGAATCTCTCATCTCGTTCCAGTTCACTCGTTATCGAGAGCAGTTTACGATGACGGATCAGATAAATAAATTCGAAATTAAAGGGGTCAAGTACCAAATTTCCTTTATGGGAAAACGCTGGCAACATTTTACAGTCCCGGATAGGCAATTATTCTGTCTCGAGAGTTGCTAACCCCGATCGAGGCTACTTTTGCCGCGTACAAACATAAAAATGTATTGTGCAATAAAATTATTTGATGTCCATATTGCTGAATCCTGTATGACAAGGATACTTCGAAATCGGCACAACGATTCCCGGATTCGGATTTATTTAGATAATATAACACAAGTGTCTATGATATGCAATGCATGTGACTTAATAATAATTCTTCCTTATTGAATTCAGGACACTTGTCCAAAAATATACATACTTAGGTTGTTATTTAGGTTATTAACCACTGAACTGAACTCCTGATTAAATAAAAAAAATGACACTCAGAAACTTAAGCTGCAACATTAATATAATACTTAAACATGCCTTTGCTTCTGATAAGGATAGATGATAACTAACAAATGTTTTAGTAAACAGCTTATAATTTCAGTAACAAAACTTCAACAACTCTTTAGGAACCATAAGCACCTTTTAAAACAACCATTAGTTGAGGCTTAAAAAGTAATTGTATGAAAATATATCTTTCAAACTAAATACAGAACCTGTAATTCAATGTTTCATTCCAAGGCTCAACTTGATAAACATCTATTAGTTTTCCTTATATTTTTCCTGTTGCGAGATACTATAAGACATAGGTAAAAGCTGATCAAATCTTAGTGAGCCATAAAAAATAATTTTTAAAGCTTTACTCCAAAACCTCATACATAAATCTTGGTCCTATAAATACTTTCAAGTTCAATATCTATGTGTTGGTATGGTTTTTGTCTTTCATTTATTAATAACAAATTAAAAACATACAAGTAGTAATAATTGTTTGAAACCCGCATATGCCATTTCACATAAATTCTTCACAATCATGTTCTTTCAATGTTTGTATAATTATTTTTCTATAAATTTAACGAGAAAACAAATTAAACATGTCCTCAAGTACTTAACACTTTCACCCTATTCGCATTAAGTAATAGTATAAATTAATTAAAGAGAAATTTACTTCTATATAAATTAGAAATTTTTAACTTAGTTAGTAGAACAAGTAGTAGTATAGTTTGACGAGTCATACTTTGGTCATGTCTAAATTAGAACCACAAAACATTGCATGCTATCTTACATAATGTGGGCATTAGATCATAAGTGTGTTACACCAGTAAAATTATTCATTTTATGGACATGTCTAGCAATATTTAGTTCCAAATCTTTGAATAGCTTTGAACTATTTCAAAACAAAGTGTGTAAAAGTGATGTGTTCAAAAATGACTGTACATTTAAAAATGTTGAAATATAATGTTGTATCTTGATAAGATATGTAAAAAGTATCAAAATACCATAGATAACATATAGTAGTGTAATATTTTGGTTTTACATAGGTTTAGCATTTGAATTTGAAAAATAACAATGTTAGGTATTCACTTTTCCCATTATTTTCTAGTGATCAGTTGAGTTATAACTGATTATGAAGAATTTCAAGTGTAAATTATATCATTAACACGGTTACAAGCAAACGTTTCCTGATGAATCAAGGTGGAAGGTCTCAGTGTAAATCGATGTAAAGTAGGCGTTTTTGGTAAAACCCGCGACATGCAACAACTGTCTCCACACTCCATATACTGTACTTGCGTGAGAAGGGTTCACGGGTGGGGCGACCGAAGGATTCTTATTAGACTGCAAAGTGGTTTCCCCATCGAAATATCACTATTACAACTAGCGATCTGCAGTAGAGTGTCGTTGTGAGTTCGAGGTCATCAGAAAACGATTGGTTATTTAGGACTTGCCAAAGTAAAACAGCGCTTACCGCTTGTAGCGCCGCTAACCTGTCCTTCGTCATCCTTTACGAAAAATCACACACCAAATAAAGGTTTTATCTTATTACACAATCCCATTCACAGATATTTTCTTAACAAACGTCACTAAACTAAAGGACACGAACACCAGTTCACTTCACTCAAAAAATCGATACAACGAACGAAGTACGAACGAAACTTCCATCCGTCAGTGCACTGAAGAAAATTTTCACAAAGTTATAGATGGCGTAAATGAGTTGAAATTATGACGTCATGATTGAGAATGTCGATAAAACAGTACCCGACGAGATCATGTTTGTAACTATTTACCACGTTTTAGATTATTACTCAAAACTTTTAATAAAAATGTCTTTGAATATTAAGATTTAGTTTAATTAAGTGTTTTCTTGGGTAGACATTATAATTTTAGAATTTCAAGACTACAGATTGAGTAAACTAAAAGTCACTCATATGACCACAACTGTCATTGCGCCTGTCAACATCTGACGATGTCAACGATTCTTTCCGCTTAGTCTAGTGACGCCATTGTGAGCCGTAACGACTTTCAAGAGCACGGAGTTTAATCTCGAATTTCTTAGATAATCTTGGTAAATAGTATATCTAAAAGTAGTATTTTAAATCTATGTTTTCTGTTCTTTGAGGTTGTATATATATTTTTGTGATAAAGTGTGTATATATAGTGTTATATTCGATTGAGTTCGGTACTATCGAGCTAAATTCCTGTGAGGATAATTAAGCGCCTTTTCACCAAAAACTTTAAACTAATTCAACTTGTCAGTTGCATATTGTTTCTTTTACTATCTAAATTGTATTATTGTTTCTGAATTCACGACATTTCAAACATTATACTTTTCTCAGGGATAAACAGAAAATATCTATATGCGTTGTCTGACTATATACGTCATGCGTTCAGCGTTATATTTAAGTCGTTGTGTATCTTTCAGGAACGCTAAAGAAAAACCGCCAAAATGACAGATGATATGCCTACATTCAAATGCGTGCTGGTCGGCGATGGTGGTACTGGAAAAACTACGTTTGTAAAAAGGCACTTGACTGGAGAGTTCGAGAAACGATATGTCGCCACACTCGGAGTTGAAGTACATCCTTTAGTATTCCATACAAATCGAGGCCCTATAAGATTTAACGTGTGGGATACGGCTGGACAAGAGAAATTCGGTGGTCTAAGAGATGGTTATTATATCCAAGGTCAATGCGCTATCATTATGTTCGATGTAACCTCTCGTGTCACCTACAAAAATGTACCAAACTGGCACAGAGATTTAGTCAGGGTGTGTGAAGGCATCCCCATTGTACTGTGCGGCAACAAAGTAGATATCAAGGACAGGAAAGTCAAAGCCAAAACTATTGTGTTCCACAGGAAAAAGAATTTACAGGTAAGCTAATAGCTAGTAATATAACTTCAAATTTGTACATTTATAATTCTCTTCGATAACACTATAATTCTTCAAAGCTACAAGTTACTAAAAAAGCACTGTTTCCTTATTTTTAGTACTATGACATTTCTGCAAAATCAAATTACAACTTCGAAAAGCCATTCCTGTGGTTAGCAAGGAAGTTGATTGGTGATGGAAACCTAGAATTTGTGGCCATGCCCGCTCTTGTCCCACCAGAAGTTACTATGGATCCACAATGGCAGAACCAAATCGAAAAGGATCTTAAGGAGGCACAGGACACTGCACTGCCCGAAGAAGATGAAGACTTGTAAATTCAACACCAGTTTCCTAATTAAGTTAATTTCACCCGGGCTGAGAGTATTGATGCCAATTCATTCCATTTGGTTTGCTGAATTTAAAATAAGAAATGTTAAGCAAAGCCTAATAACCTAATAATTTATTTTCATTGCGTTGACATGCTGATCTGTTGAAAATTGTCTCCTTTATAGTAAAAAAAAGTATTAATGATAACATACTAGGTAAATAAGCTTTTTATTGAAGCAAAGTCTGATGTCCTATTAATACAAGCTTCAATTTCTTAATTATAAAGGTTTGTATAGCATGTAACATTATGTTGTTTTACATGCCATTTTTTGTTTGTCGATGACAACAATTCACTAATAAAAATTTGTGGTGATACTTTTTCAATAAAGTTGTAAAAATATTTTGTGTTTCAATTGTGTCCTGTGTGGTTGCGGGTTCAATACTGGGTAAATAACTTATAATACATTATATTCTAAGAAACCATTTGAATTTTTTTTATGGAGATAATAGTTTTCAAATAACTTAAAGTAAGAGTTTTATATTAATAGGCTTGTTGCTTTAATGGACAACTTCTGTCTGCCTCTGTAGTTAAATGGTTAAACGTATTGCCTAGCATTGCATTGCGTTAACGGTGAGAGGTCCTGGGTTGGAATCCCAGGGAAACAAAATTGTTTTGGGTATAATAGTTGTGGATTCGATCCCCATCAAATCCAACTGTCAATGATTAATTAGTCTGAAAATCTCGATATTAATTAATAGGTGATCGAATTTCGAATCACAAACCACTGATAGAAAAGACTCGAGGTTAATTACGTTTCGTTAAGCCCGAATATTTAATATCTTTTTGGCTTTTTTTTCACATTCTATTAAGTAAACCCTGATCTGGTCTCTATCATGGCGTAGGTTTTAATTCACTAATAGAGCGAAAATTTATCTAGAAACGATCTGTATGTTTCACATTGCACACAGCTCTGTTCTATAAATAGTGAATGAGTAAGGCAAGTCTTAGCTTATAGTTAGTCATCTTGTGCAAGGTTATGTTTATACATCTATCACCAAAGTGGACAATTAGAACTTACTTATTATTGGTAGGTATTTTTTTGTAACACTAAATTTAATTTTTCAATTAAATTTAGTGTTACAAAGAAGTTTTTTATTAACTGGTATCGCAAAAACTGTTTACGCGAGTATTATACATTAAAACACACGGTTTAAGATAATTAAATAGTTAAAATAATTTTCGAATAAGTTTAACTAATATATTTCGCGTTTTAAACCGTTAAAGCGTTTTATTCAAATAGTATCACAAATTTAATAATATAGCTACACTTTTAATTAAATGATCTCTTAATGAAATTTAAGCCAAAGGTACAGTACATTACGTATCAAATACATTATATTGTATCAAATACTGGTTCCCCCCTGGGGTATGGGGTGTGTCCGTTTCACATAGGCATTATTTACAGGCAAGTAGTTGTATGACCGAAAACAGTTTGTCTTCCTGGAATCTGAATTTAGGTCAGGTTACATTTAATGCTAAGCAACACATTTAACCATTTATCTAGAAGTTGTATGTGCCAATTAAGAAAACTTTTGCAAACAAATTTTAGGGCTTTAGTACACCTTTATTTAATTTTTTAAATGCGTAATACAATAAACTACTATCCTATTCTTAAATCATAATTCACTTCTTCGCGGCCGCCTTTTCTCTGGCCTTCTTGCCTTCCAAGAGTTTAAGTCTGTCTTCCTCTGTCAAGTCCTTGTTGATCTTTGTGATAACTCCCGTTCCTAGGGTAAGATCACCAAGTCGTAGCGTGAATCTCTGTCCAGTTTCGCACACCATGGGTTTGAGAAGCCGGAGTTGTAATCTGTAATGAATTTGTTCAAGTTTAAAAATGACTTCAGACAAAAAATATTTTAAATATAAAATTTACATTATAAAACTGACCATATACCAATTGTACTTTGTAAGATGTACAGAAATATCATATTGGAAGTTCCCTTAAATATTAATATGAGTTTAATTTAGTATATGTTGCTATAGAGTCACCTACATACATATTTTTTGTATGGATTCTCAATATATAGAGGTCTCAGTTTAATAATAATATAATTTTTTTAGCCTTTGTAAAGGAGAAAGTAATTCAAAAATGACTTTTGTATTTCTTTAATATGAACATTTTTTTGATGGAGAACAGTTAACCATAGCATTCATTCGATGGAAGGGGATATACCCCAGCCAAAAAACATGGTGTTTATGAGTTGTCAACCTGTTCTTAGGGTTTGGATATTCGGATATTTACAGACGGAAACCGAAACGCGATTGAACTGGACGGCTTTTTAATCTGTGGAGGTGCTTCCTGACCCGTATGGAATTTCGATATCCAGGTTTCCCTACAGATTCAACGTTTTGCTTGAAAATTATACATTGTTGAGAAAGGCGTTGGGTATGGTTTAGATCGAAAGACAACCATTACATTTTTTACCATAAGTGTGTTGCCACCATTAGACCAACAAGCTTGTCAAAAATGTCTACCTTGTTGTGCAGTATGCTTGAAAGTCTCTTAACTATAATAAATGTGTTTATAGAACAAGCTTATACCAAAGTCCAAGCTATAAGTGTGTGCTAAGAATATAGAAGTATTTATGTAAAGAACATAGGCGTTTCCATGCTCTGTGATTCCTTAACAAATTAAAGAACACCTACGTCGCATCTTCGCCTGGCATGACCATTTCCTTTTGTGGGATGGTGACTTGAGTAGCGCAGTCCCAGGTCATAGAGAACATCTGGAGTTGGATAAAGGATGTGAAGGGCTTAGCGCGACCACCTGTGAACCAACGTAACCAAGATTGTAACAACCATTTTAAGAATTTCAGAAAACTACTATGATAGATAGATGAATTTCATTAATAGGATGTAATTATGAAACTGTAACAAATTATCAGTTCTTATCTGGAGGGGTGGAGTAACAACACGAATTGGATAAATTTTCAGATGATACTAGGACTATAAAATTACCTTCTTCCTTGCTCAAGATATAAACAGCAGCTTCGATATTGTCATGTGCCTTAACAGTTCCTGGTTTAGCCATCACCATACCACGTTTGATTTGTTCCCTCTTGATGGAACGGACTAGAGCCCCAAGCTGGTCTCCAGCCTGAGCCTCTTCTAGGGTCTTGTGGAACATTTCCACTCCTGTCACTGTTGTTTTCATGACCTTACCATGACCAACAATTTCACAGTCTGTTCCCTTTTTAAGACAACCTGGAAAACACAAATCATTGTTCAATCCTACTAGATACAATTTTGCTTAATGAACGTAGAAGTTATTATTTAGATCTTTGGTTATTCTAAAGTGGCATGAATTTTTCAAATATTAACAGGCATAATATGTAGTATGAGAGAAAAACAAAACTTTAAAAAAGAAGTCAAACAGCTCCAGAAAACGTGGCATAAAAGACACATACACTGTAAACATGACTACAGAAATCATGCTATATGTCATACCTCTGTGCAAACGACCTGTAACAACAGTTCCACGTCCTGGAATCGAGTGTACAGATTCAACTGGCAAGAGGAAAGGTTTCTCTAGCTCTCTTACAGGTGTTGGAATAAATGAGTCCACTTCATCTAGAAGTTGTGTTATGGCATCCGCACCGATCTCTGGACTTTTACCATCGAGGGCACATAATGCTGAGCCTGTAGGAAAATAGAAATGTTTGAAAATATTATTTTTTATGACAGAAAAACACATATAGTTCACTTGATGGGAGGTGAAGCCCAAATTTGACAGTCTTAAACATAAACCAAAACACAGTTACACTAAACTGTTTACTAGTCATTTCTGACTCTGATGGAATATGGATATTTCACATAACAAAGCCTAACATGTTTCAGAGGAAATTTTAAATGATTTTAAATAACATGTTGGACCTGGCAGGAATCTTATCTGTTAATTATTAGGTATAGGAACTTAAACTGAAAGCTTATGAATAGACCTTATAATCATAATCAGAACTTGGATGGCTGCGAATTATCAATTTTCAGTAGGCATTCTTAGTGGTTTACAAAGAAAAACAGTATGGCTCAGGTGTAGGATTGGAAATAATACCTTTAATAACTGGTATTTTGTCACCATCATAACCCATTTCAGTCATAAGTTCTCTGATTTCCATCTCCACAAGTTCAACCATTTCTTGATCAGCAGCGTCCACTTTATTGATGAACACAACAATATGTTGGATACCAATTTGCTTAGCTAACAACAAGTGCTCCCTGGTTTGGGGCATCACACCATCTGTTGCTGCAACCACAAGAATTGCACCATCCATTTGAGCTGTTCCTGTGATCATGTTCTGAAAGTGGAATCAAATTGTTACCTCTATTATAAAGGAGAAAGCAAAAACAGAAACTTTGCAAATTTTTCTTGAAGTACATAAGAGAGATGTACCACAAGGCATAATCTAGTCATCAGTAAATAATTTTTATATTGTCTGTGATTTTACACAATTTTTTGACTCGTCATAGATAAGCAAATATATATACATAAAAAAAAACTAAATCTTTATTAACCTTAATGTAGTCAGCATGTCCAGGACAATCCGTGTGGCCATAATGCCGCTTGTCAGTCTGGTATTCAACATGAGCAACATTGATTGTGATACCTCGTGCCTTCTCCTCTGGTGCATTGTCTATGTCTGTGTACCCTTTCTTTTGAGCTAAGTTACGGTCAGCTAACACTGTAATACAAAAAAGCATTTAGTTTTGTCTTTATGACATTATTATTTATGATTTTACTGGTGAGTTAACATGAGGGAATGTAAAAAAATATAAACCCACAGCAAATGCCACCACCAACACAACCACCTCCAGCTGCTTTTGTCAAAATAGTACATTGGCATTTGCAAAATGGTTGCAAAATATGATATCAAGCCCCAGAAAAAAAAAGTGGTATGGCAATTAAGCTACTGTCTTCTACTGTGTCTATACTAATGTAATAATACTAGAATGCTGCATTTAATATAAATAATAAATATTACCTCTTGTGATGGCAGCGGTCAAAGTCGTTTTTCCATGATCAACATGTCCAATAGTACCAACATTGCAATGTGGCTTTGTCCTCTCAAAGACCTGCTTTTCCGCATAATTTCTTCGCAGAATTATACTTAACGGTGTTAGTGTAGGTATGCCAGTAACGCGTAGATTTGCGTTATTCTGCTTCAGGAGCACTTTCAATGCTATAAGCAAAACAGTAGGAATAAGGTTAGCAAATATTGCCTACAGGACAAAGTTTGAATCAAAAACGATAAATTATCAGTAACTAGGCAAATACTTCATTCTTAAGCACATTAATGTTGAATTTATTACAGGAATAAAAATGAACCTAACATAATACAACATTTGATAACAATTTATAACCCTACTCAACGAAAATTACTATAATATGCATATGATTATGGATAATATTGAATTAGTTTTAAAATTAACAGATTTAAATAGAAAGTTAAGAAAATTTTTCCATGTTTAATGTTTAGTTATAATCCTAGAATCACAAGATGTTTTTTGTAGATTTACATAACCAAATATTGTGATACGGTATGACCCTTTTCAACGGCTTGTAATATAATATATATTTATTTGTTGACTAAGGATAATGATCGCATTGGACAAATATTTCATAACTTGACTGTACTTTTCGGTGATAAGATTTATTAGGCCACAATTTTTAACAAGGTATCAATTAAGTACTCACCTGGGTTAACCAAACTTTTAGCGAACGACATTGTCGTCATTTTTCTATTTCACCACTGTAATCTACGCCAATGCTATATTTTAGATTTTGAATTGATATTAATACTGATAAGACGCCGGTTTGTATCCCAAATCAATAATTATTAAAATCCCAACCTACTTTTCTTCTTAGGCCCTTGGGCAATGTGACGTTGACAATTGACGTTTAGACTAGTGCTGCCACTTAAACAGAAGTTTGATTTATATTAGTGATAGCTGATTTCCTAAGTTTGGAAAAGAAGCAAAATAAATATTAGTTTATGTTTGTTATAAATAATAAAACCATAAAAACTGCATAAATATATTTCTGAAGAAATTTTATGAAAACACTGTTAACATGCTGGTTATAAACATATATCTATTTAAACTCGTAACAAATGTACGTACGTAATATTACAAGTACAGTACAACATTAATTAATCTTTAAAATTTATTTCCATATCAGAATTATTATTATTTATCAATTTCTTGTACTTCTTTACATGTTTTTTAACGGATTTTGGCGTTTTTGTTGGCCCTTCCAACGTACGAAGAAATGAATATCTATCAAGCCTATCGCTCCTGCTGAGGAGAAGGGCTTGCTCGGCTTCCTCGTAAGCGGTCGCGAGGCGCTGTTTTAAGTTCTTGCTCTGTTTATTACTACGTGGTACGACTGTTGTGAAGTTTTTAATGCGACTCGCTTTCACCCAGCCTCTGGTCAGAGGGACGTCGAAGAACGTCACGTTATAGTGGGTCTGAAAAGGAATTGAATTATTTTCAACTTATAGATTTGATACAAAAATACTAGGTACTTGTTAGAAAAAAAATGCAATGTAATAACGCTATTTCAATTCTGTTTTCATTATATAATATACTAATATGTAGTAGTAATACTAGCTGGTGCCTGCGACTTCGCGAAGCTCGCAGGAAGGTAGGTTTTTTCCTAGTTACTTGACACTTAATGTCATATTTTGGACAGCTCACACAATACAATATCTTTATTAATTGTAGCCTACGTGTTATTCTGATGTAAAAGCTATTAGAACGTCTAATTGAAATCCATTCAGTAGTTTTTGCGTGAAAGAGTAACATCCATCCACACATACAAACTTTCACGTTTATAATATTAGTAGGATAATTTCGTGACTAACAGCTTATTTTTTTATGATAGATAACAGAATGGGGTCCAATTCCGAGAGGGTAACATAACACAGCTGTATATCGTCTCAACAAGATGTGTTGTTGACCTATTTCGGCTTAGTTTACATATTGTTTTAACCTCCTATTATCACACTGCTGGTTGCAAGTCTCCTGTTGTATGAGGGAAGGTTTTTACATCCACCAACTTGCATCAGAGCCAGTCACCTAATAAGCGGCCTAATTATTAATTCTCGGCTGATATTAGATATTGTCTTAGTCCGAGATATGTAATCGCGGCTAGGATTCGAACCTGGGCCCCTAGTGATCTGTAGTCGAATGCACTGACCCTAGACTAGTTTTCAAATAAGTTTAATGATATTCTAAAAGCTGTAAGTTGTAAAGCTATTACCCAAACAACCATAGCAACGAAGAGATATTTTTGTAATACATAATGACTATAATTCAGGCTATTCTACAATATTTAAGTAAAAAAAAACTTTTAACGGTTTAAAACGGGAATTATATTCATTCTCTCAGATCATAGTTAAAAAATTAAAAATAAGTTACACAATCATATTTTGCGTTTTAAACCGTATGAACTGTATAAATACGTATGTTTTTGATGTTTTCAACAAAGATGAAAAGTTAAAAGGTGGTTTTAAATACCGGAATGTCTGATAGCGCGTCTGTCCAAAAATATTGTTCGGTGTCTGGACAGTCCTCGATCATAGCCGGCCACCAGGGCCAAGATCCGTAGCGTGCGAGGACTATGGACCCGACGGAGTACTTGGAGTAAATAAGATCCGCTTCAACGTGGACCGGGATGAGCATTTCCGGCTTGGAACAGCTGGATAAGCTCTTCTCTGGTAACAAGAAAGCATTGGAATTGAAATGATAAATGGGAATCTAAGTCTATATTAATATATAAAGCTGAAAGTTTGTTTGTTTGTATGATTGAACGCGCTAATCGCAGGAACTACTGATTCGAAATGATTTTTTTTGGGTCGGTTAGAGCAATTGTCGAAGATAGGCTCTAACGCATCGCGATGTGATTAATAGGAGCGTAGAAGCGGAAATGTGGGAAAACGGGGAAAATTATATATTTTAGAGTATGTTTAAGATATTTATCGAATTCGTTCGGTTCGAATTGAAAAATAGTTTACGCGAGAAGTACACATTTAAATAAAACACTTTAACGGTTTAAAACGCGATATATTAGTTAAACTTATTTGTCTCCCCGTGGCCACGGCTGCTGCAAAGCATCCGAAACGTCGGGCCGAAGTTAAAAATCATTTCCAAATAAGTTTAACTAATATATCGCGTTTTAACCGTTAAAGTGTTTTATTTAAATGGGTCATACATTGTTAGCCCGTCTAATTTTGGAGGATCATGATCTATGCTCGTAAATTCTCTCACGCATGGATAGATTGGGTCTGGACTGGTGGATGATATTTACCTGGGTGCAACGAGCAATACCATTTTTCAGGTAATTCAGTACGTTCGAATATCGTAGGCATGGACCTCCATTTGTCGCATGCGTCGCATTGGACCCACAGGATCTGGGTCTGAAGGCGCTGCTGTCTCAACCACAAGAGTCTTTCATAACGGGATGCGTTCGGTGGTGGCTGACTGAATGCCTCTGTCGATCTGCATGTTCCGCTTTTGAAACATAAACATAAATGTTTTCAAATAAAACCCATGGATGCCTTCGTCACGAGTTCTTGGCGACGGCAATTATTTCCAAATCTATCTTTTTACCGGTATATGTCAAAAAATCAGTCTATATACGTTATATATAAATATATAGTTGCAATAATTTCGGAAAACATGAAAAAGTAGTATTGCACAAGATTAAAAATCGAAAATAAATTGAAAAAGATCTTCGATTCGGGCAGGAATTAGACTTAGGACTGACGGAACGCTCGCGATACCGGTTCGGCTAAATCCAATCGGCTAAGTCCGCCCAAATCGAAATGTTTTTCAATTTACAGTCGGAAAACTTTCTTAATAAGTACATAAAACCTCGTGTTTAATCGAACATACTAAATTGTTGAATTTTTTATTACAAAAATGTCATGAACTGATAGAACTTGCATACATACACAACGAACAATATCGCTACTATCTATGTATAAAAAAGTAAATAAAAACACGTTTCTATGTATACAATTCACGCTTTTCGGTTACTACGTAGTTAATTATAGTTTTCTATTGAACTTACTTTGAAACAAAGTTGAAAAAAATCACTAACCACGTGGTGTGTGTGATTAGGTAAATCAATTTAGGATAAAAAGGAAAATATAAACAATTACCTTATCACTTCCATATCCTGCCAATCGCCTTCCAACACAGACTGTAAAAAATATATGTATATAATTTATTTCATTAAGTTCTTCTGTAAGTTATTTTATATAGACAAAGGACTTACGAGCCAACCAATACGAATACTACCTCACGCACAACAGAAACGTTATAGTCATCAGCGGGTAGATGAGATTTCTTATACCGAATTTTAATAATTACCGATATTTTCGTGCATTATCTGTGGCTTACATTGCATAATCTTTGAGCGTTCTTTACTTGACTTAATTTTACAAAATATGATTTAAAATTTCATTTGAAGATTGAATAACGGGCTTTTTTGTTATTAAACTCAGAGACAATTTTCTAATATAAGATAAGTGGGCGACAAAAGGGGTACAAACTCATGTAAATAATTTTGGATTTCTTTGCATTTTTTCCGTTGCTAAAATATAAATTGATAGGTGGAATAGGTCAAGAAAATTTTTTCCCCATACCCCACACAGCATGTTAATCTTATTGATGTTACTAAAATCAATTTATTAAGGAAAAAAATCTACAGAAAATTAACATTGGCGGGAAAAAATTAACATTTACTTACATCCGGCTGTTGAGCACTTTGAGGGCTCGCTGGCTCACATGCTGGTAAATCAGTCTCCATTATACCTAATATTGTAATCTATTAAAGAAGAAAAATGTTCATTATTGAACTTTAAAAATCCTATTTAATTTTCGTTAAAAATAACTGCGCCACGAAAGTAAAAATGAACAAGAGAAAAGCTGAATAACTTACGGTATTTAATAAACACAAAAATATAATTGATATACTGTTTAATTTACAAATATATCACTTAAAATTAAACGCCTATATGAACTGATTATTGCTTATTTTTTTCACCTACAGTTGAAGTTGCCGCCTCTACTAAATCAATGGACTGACGGAAAGGAATAAAAAATGGGAGCGTTTAGATTTATTTTCCCGCCTATTTTCTTTCTAACTTTCTGTCAAATGTAATAAATGATTCGATTTATTTTTTTGAATTTTGTGTACTAAGAAGCATAAATAAATATTTACAAGAAAACTATAAATAGTTTCGTATATTTTATTTAAGACATATTTATTGTTTTAATAGATTGTTTTTATTTGTAAAATTATTTAATAAACGATTACAATATTATCTATACAAAAAGTGTACAAAAGGCAAAGAGAAGAAAGCAATATAATCCATGGTCAATTAAAAAGTCATATACGTAACTTATTTATATTAGTTTTGTTACCAAACACAGTTACAATTTTTGTTATAGTAAAATAAAATTTTCAAAATAAAGTAGATTTTCTTATAGGGATATATAAATTTTAAATCAATCTTTGTTCAGTAATAAGAAGCTTATTATTGCTTTATTGTGTCTGGCTGCCGGCTGCTAGGCTGGTCGCCATATTTGTGGCGAGTTGAAAAGTAGTGTTTCTTACTGTGTAATCGTCGAAATATCGACGAAAGGGAGTAGGAAGTGCTCCCTTTTTAGTGCGTCGCAGTTTTTCTGTGTAAATAATATCTCTGCTTGCGTTTTTTGTTAAGAAATTGTTATTTTCTCTTTGTGTACTATTAGAAACATGGCCATTTAAAATGTCGGCCCTGCACGTAATTTCTTCGTCTCCTTGCGGAGCTTCCCGCTTTGCTTCTGTGGATGTTGGAGGATACCAGGATGGACAAGAAATCAATAAATCGATCTACTATACAACAGTCGAGGGCAACCGCCGTCGACTGTAAAAAAAGTTCAGGTAAATATCAGAAGGTCGAATTATTGTGATGTCATACCTGACTACATCGCATAATATTGTGACAGATCTCAATCAACCTACGTAACCTTAATTTTACGTGATATTAAATTTAATACATTTGTGATGTCAATGTTTTATTTAATTTGCTCAAAGGTTAACATGCGTTTTAATATAGGAATTTGTTACCTGAACACAAAATACCAACAATGATATTAATTTAATAAATGCCATTATCTAATTCTACTCCTATAACCGATTTCTTTCATCTTAATCATGTTTAATTACAGAATTGACACATAAGCCGTGGCCACGGAATAACAAGAAACGTGAAACATCTGGAAACCTACCGAAAAATGAAAACAACCGCAAAAACACCCCGGCACAGAGAGGTAGAGGTCAGGGTGATAAAAGGCCTCGTCCACGTGGTGCCAATAACTTTGTTGTGGGTGGAGCGCAGAACACCGGGTATGTTGGCTTATCATTATTTTCCTTTACTGTAAAGTCACAGACGAAGTAGTATATGTTTTAAAGTCCTAAACATACTCCAGTTGTATTTGTCCAGTAGCGCTGCCCAGTAAAGCACTCTTCTATTGATGGGTAACTAATTTGTATAGGACAGATTTAACATGTATGCTCTTTGAGACAATTGTTACTAATGAACAGTAGTTCAATTTAACTTGATGCATATTTGTTTGTTTTATTCTCAGGTTAATGAAAATATGACTATATGCTAAGGCTTTTAACATTCATTATTAATTTCAGGCTAGAAAATGAGGAGGAGCCAGAATTAGGTTCTTTGTTCATGCCAGGAAGCAAAAAGCAAAATTTTAATCATTTGCTGAACTTCATGTACTCCCCTCGAGGTAGCAATGAGCGGAGAGGGCCTCCGCCTCGCAGGACTGTTCAGAATAGAGTGCACCATCATTTTGAACATGATCTCTACTTGAGGGCATAGTAGGTGTTTCTGTCTTTTTTAAAATTCGTTTTAATAAGTTTATTACTTTAATTTTTTTCTTTGCTTATGCTGATTCCATTAGTTTTAAAAGCTTGATCTATAAGGATTTGCTTACTACAATGAACAATTCAGAAAAGATAGTTAATTGAATGTCTCCTAAAAAGTTTGTTTTGTACAATTTTTATAATGTAAAGGAGAGGAGGACAGTTACCAATTCACCAATGTTTGTGTTGTAACATGTGACCTACTTAACAACACATCTAATTTGGTTATTATGATTTCAGTTGCCAATTTATTGTGAAGCAAGATGGAGATTACAAGGAAAACTTGTTGAACCCTGACCTACCAATTAAATGGGAGCAAATTGAGGAAATTGTTAGTATTATATCACATCAGTTACTTAGGAATTTAGTCTTGTTACTTGTTGTTGAGCGTTTGTTTTCTTAAATGTTCAGAAATCCTTACATTAAAACTGAAATGTTACAATACTTCACAGCTTTACCATCTTTGGATGTTTGACCTGGTTGATTAGCCATATGTTGCTAACAAAAGGCCAATAAGCCTGTTCAAATCTCGGATATTTTGGCATAAAACTATTTTATTGTTTTTTTGTTTATTATTATAATGCCTTTTTTCCAAGTTAAGGAGAGAAATGATGGATGGAGAGGAAATGATATTTACCTTGTAATATTATTTTCCTAGAATGCAAAAATGACTGTTTTAGGGTGCAAGAGTTACATATTATAATTATATCTATGAAAGAGTTGTTATTTCGTTGTTTTAGTTACAAATGTTTCCAGTAGAGTATTAATATAAACAGCGGATTATCTTATGTATTGTTTTTATTTGAGAATAGCTGGTTGTAAGGGCAGAGTGATATAGTACTAGTTAAGATAAATAACCAAACTAAACAAATGATTATTTTTCTTACAGGTGGTTCGAAGGGCTGGTAATTGCCAATGTCCGATTTGTCTAGGCCACCCGGTAGCTGGACGCGTGGGTATTTGCGGCCATGTATACTGCTGGGCATGCATTCTACATTACTCCACCACTCATGAAAAGCAGCTTCCGCCATGCCCAGTCTGCACAGTTACTCTTCAGGTGGCTGACATGAAACCTACAAGATTAGTGCAATGGGACACTCCGGAGGAGGTATTGTTGTCAACTAAATGACTGATAGACATTGTAATAAGAGAGTAATATATCACATACATGTTTTATAAAATGTTTTTCTCTGAAGCTGATTTTCCTGTTTAACACACAACCTCTAGAATTTAACGTTAACCTAGAATGAACGTGAACCATCACTAATTAATTCCATGATGTGGAAATAAGTTGATATTTATTTATTTCATATTGGAGAAGTGATCCATATTTCTGCTGACCGATTTAACACCATGCCTCTGGTACTGTGTTACATCACTAAGTTGCACTTTTGTTTAGGTCACAATGCGCCTTGTACGACGTCTACGTGGTTCTACCGTAGTGGAAGTTGCGCCTCCAAGAGGCATTATAACGGAAATTAAAGAAGCCAACACTTTGCCACTAGAGGAGCAACCCGTCTCGCCGTATGCAAGAATATTCTCTGCTAATCACCAACAGGTAACTATGCACAAGGGAATCTCTTTAAAGGGAATAAGGGAATAGTCCAGTGTTGCTAGGTCTCTTGAACCTTGTGTGATAAGGTAGTTAAAAGTATCACAGATAATGTGTATATTGACTTCAAAATTGTTAAAGGACACACTGCAAAGAATTTCTGTTTTTAATTTGTTCCCGTCAATAAATAATGGTCTCCCACGACCACTGCTGCTGCAAAGCATGGAAGACATATATTTTCCAGATAAGTCTAAGTTATATATATATATTTATTATATTACGTTATATATTATATCTCGTTTTAAACCGTTTAAGTGTTTTATTTACTCGCGTAAAATACAGACAGTATTTATATAATGATGACTTAACATATTTGTTATGGATTCCACTCTCATCTATGTCATCAACATTTTATATTTTCTAAAACATAAAATTATTTCATGTTACAGGTTCTTAACATCATTGAGCGTGAGAAACAAGAAATAGAAGCTCAAATCCAAGCAGAGATAGACACAACTGAGTTAGTTTACTTGGAACAAGCGTTGAACATGTTAAAAATTAAAAAAGATGTTATACAATGCCAACATTTGGAACCGCAGCCTGTATACAATGATGACCAGGAGAAGAAAATTGTTATTGAAAAACATAATCCAAGCAATAAGAAATATGACTGGTTTGATGTTGATGAAGATAAAGGTGCTGCCTGTTTGGATGAGTTCTCTGAATTAGAAATCAATGAACATAAACCAGAACAGGAGGTAGAAATAGACGATGCAAAGAAATATGGTTTCGATCTAAATGACAATCCACTAGAGGACTTGGATGTTAGGGATAGCCCTCCAGAAGTTGACCAAAATAACCTGACTGAAATTGATAGAGAGAATCAATCGAGATATTTCTACTTTTATCAAGGTGCTTATAAATAATTATTATGAAATAGAATACATAGACTTAATGTTAAGAGTCTGTCTCTGGTCCTCTTGGGCAAAGGCTTATAAAAATTCTCGCAGGAAGTTGATTCCCGGACTCATTTTTTTTTTTACAGCGGACGACGGTCAGCAAGTGTTTTTGAACAGCCTGAACGTGAGATTGCTGGTCGCGTCTTGGGGCGCCCTGGTCGCTGCCCCGCCGGTCATCCGCGCGAGGGTACTCCACCGTGATACTGTCTCTCTTGGTGAACAGGTAATATTTTCTCAAGATTGTATACTAATAATAATTCTTTCTATTTAGTATTTCTTTGGAACAATGTTAGAAAGAAATAAATATATTACAATAATGGCAAGATCAAATTTAATTTGAAGAAAACTGATGCTATGCCAAAATTTTTTTGCAAAAGGATTCACTTTAGCATATGAAGCAACAGTTACAACAGTGATTTTCAGTACAACCCAATTGTTCGTCTATTCACAACCATTTGATATTTTAAATAACAGTGACTTAAAAATTAATAAGTAATGTATAACTATTGCAATTTTTTTTATATTAATTTTACTCTTATAATGGTGAGATGTTGTGTGCCATGTCTATTAAAAACAAAGAAATTACAGTATGTACAGTAGTAATCCCTACAAACTTACATAAGTCTTACAATTCTGTATATATTGATTGTGATAAACAAACAACTAACTTTATTGCTTTCATACAGTGCGATTGTTTCCTTCCAGACGAGAAAACACATGCCATACACTGCGCATCTGCCTCTACATTGCTCGTTTGACGTGGTCGAACTTGACCTGAAGCCACCGCATGTTACAATAAGTGCACTGGAAAATTTTGCTGGTAAGAATTTTTATTTTTCATCAATTTTATACATACAGTCGTCATGGAAACAGTACAGTGTTTTAGTTATGCCACGGTTGTTCGTTACCATATAACTTGATATTTAAAATAAATGCTAATATATAACTATAACCAATTAACTGACCAATGTCTGTAATGTCATATAGGTTATTCTGTAATAATTAACTCTAACAACTGCTTCGTTGGTCTACTAGTGATTAGTGGACTCTTCTGCTAATCAAGTGTTCCCAAATCCTGGGTTATACCAGGTCTAAATTTTTAAATCCTCTTTATGTGAGAAGATTGTAATTTTTTTCCCCTGTCGATGAAAGTTTGGATATTTATACCACCCATTTAATATCCAGATTTCCAGACGATATCCATCATTCAGAAAAATTATAATTTGATTAGAATCATGTTGGATCTGATGGGGATCAAATCCGCAACTCGTTAATAATTAGCTAACCTTACCCAATGATCTTTTCAAAAACTTAGTGTGATATTATTCATTTAATTTATTTTTAGATAGTTTTGCTACAATCTAAAAAAAGTATCGTTATCATATGTACTTAAATGTTCAGTATAGCAAGTCTTAAAATTTACATTTTTCAATTCCAGTGGAGATAGAGCGTCGTGCACGCAACCGCGCCCGCCAAGAACGTGAGGAACGACGCCGCGAGAGGGCCTACAATCGCGCTATGGAGGGCCCTCCTAAACCGGACTTCTCTTCAGATATACTGTTCCCGCCAACAATATCGCCCTTCGGAAGTCCACCACAAGCGGAACCCAATTTATTTGATCCCGGCCCTTCTACTAATCCATATGGAGAACAACCTACACCATCTACCAGTAGTAGTTCCGGTTTATCCTTTGCTAAGGTGACACATCTTAATTTACTCAAGTAGTATCCACTTGAATAAATCAACTGTTTAAAACGAGTATAATGCGAGCAGCCATGGTCAGGGAGGGGTCGCTAGTTTTCTATGTAAAACAACCAACATAAAATATAACAAGTTTTTTGAGTAATGTATTCAAGGTTTGATATTTTTGCCCTTGACTGCCTGATAGTTGATAAATACTTAAAATCAAATCATTTATTTCATACACATAAAAATACAATAAAATAGATCTAATTCTAGTGGATCCACTCAGCTTTTGTTGAACCTGGAAGTAGGCAAAACCTTTGACATTTGAAGTACACTATATTATAAGAAGTAGTATAACTTATCTGTGCAACTGATCATAGAACTTTGTCTTTGGTTATGAATTTTTTATTAATATTTATAATATATAACAGCACAGACCAGGTTTCATAGATTTGTTAAATATTTTCTATGCTATATTGGCTTTCCAATTATATTTTGGTAGATGGCCGGCGCAGGCGGAACTTGGCGCGTTCGCAAGACTACAGCGGCACCGCCGCCACCGCGCAACGACGACGACAAAGAAAGCCACGCACCCCGCTCTCTTGTCCTCAGCGATGCCATCGAAGCCGCATTGCTGGCCGGCCCTTCAAGTCCCGCGCCGTCCAACAAAAAGAAAAAGTCCAAACAAAAATTATTATTCGCCACCGGCATGAACCGGTCTCCTTAGAAAGTTCAGGAAAATACGTTTCTAATCTGTGGTTAATTTTGTTGTGTTTATTACTATAATTATGTTCTAAGTTTTAGATTAAAATTGGGTAATCACATGCGATGTCTCCTATAGACGCATTTGCTATTTCAATTGGTATTACATAAATTATAGATTGATGAAAGTTATTTAGTTTCTTAGTGTAAAATATTGTTCTAATTTCCATGCCCCATGCAGTAAGTTATACCAAAATTGTTCATTATTCCCTTCCTAAAGTGCCAGCCGGTTGTCAATAATTTCATTGAAAATCCATAAATATAGTTTTATGCATATATATTTAACATAGTAATCGTATAAAATAGCGAACAATACCTAATTATGTAGAGTCTACATTGTAGGTGTTTGGTGTTATAAATATTGGTTATATTTAAATAAATATCACTTTTAAAAGGTGACCTGTTGTTTTCTTTCAAGTGTTATTGCTTGACTTTGAAATGTGGGGTATTACTTTTTTATGGTGCCTGCTTCTTTTTCTTTGTATTATTTTCAAAAAGCTGAAATACTAGATTTATGAAAGAATGTTGATGTAAAAATAAACTATAGTCCGACAGATAGCAAATAAAATCTTGAATAATAGGAACTGATTAAAATAATAAATAAACAATATGTAATAAAATATTTAATTTTAATAAATATTGTTTTAATACAATTTATAAAAGCAATATTAAAAACCAGATTTTGATCTATGTCATAATATGTATGTGCAACAAATAGTATTTTGTAAAAACCACTTTCACCTTTAAATCCTGGTACATTTTTTATTATTAATGTTTTCCTTAATTGGTTTTGGGGTCAATATAAACAAACCTATTTTGTCTAAAAATTCACAAATTGACTGCAATTCCCATAAAATATTGTAATCTGTGCTTGTCTAAAATTCACGAGTGACAGTTGACAGTGACAATTTTGACTTATAATTTATTTTGTTTCTATTTTCAGCTGTTGTAATTTTATTTAAAATTTAAATATTATTTAAAAGTCACATTAGCAGATTAAATGTATTCGTACACTTGTGTAAATACAATTTATACTTCATTGTAAATACTTTGTTAGTTGATAGAATCTAGTTATGTCTGGAAAAGACTTCGTTTTTGAACCATTTAAGGTTACAGAAGTAGAATACCAAGGACCTGAATGCCCTAGGCCTAGAAGTGGACACAGAATAGCATGTGATGACACACACGTTTACTGTTTTGGAGGATATAACCCCTCACTACCTTTGAGCCAAATACAGCGTCAAAATCCTACTTGGACGCCGGCGAGGCCACTGTTTAGAGAACTATGGAGTTTTAATATAGTTAGTCGAAAATGGAAACATCATAGGGTAACAAAAAATATGCCTGACGAACTAGCATCGAATGCAATGTGTATGAATGGAAGATATTTAATGGTATGTAAAAAGTACTTTATTAATTTTCTTTTTTATTCAGATGTTGAAATTGTAGCACATAACTTACATATTTCTATATATTTTTGAAACACGCACGGAAACTAGTATGTTATGTCTGCAAAACCGTAATTTATCCATTACAACATTCTGAGTTGAATTCAATTTTTTACTTTACATAATTTACCTTTTTTCAAATATATAATCACATAACAAAGCTTTATTAGTAGAATGAAACATATTAGGTAAATGTTGAAATATATTTTTAGATATTTGGTGGTACAGGTGCTCCATTTGGCAACAAATGCAGTAATGATGTTACTGTATGGATGACAAACAATGGTGACGCTAAGCTGGAACTACTTGATGTGACAGGCTCTCGACCCCCAGGCCAGTATGGGCAGTCTATTCTCTGTCATAATGGTTATTTCTACACTATAGGTGGCACTAACGGATTTGCATACAATTGCGATATTTATAGGTTATTATTTTAACTAAAATTATAGCCTTAATGCTCTATTTTGTTAAAATTTATTTTTTACTCAAAGTTACTTGAATTTTTAAAATGATCCCTATAATGTCAAAGTAAAACCTTTTAGGCTAGATCTCCAAACAATGGTGTGGGAGCCAGTATTTATTGGTAACGGACAGGACTGTGAACCACTCGGCAGGTACCGGCATGAAGTTATCAGGGATGAAAACAGACTCTACATAATAGGTGGAGGGACAGGGGAACTGGCTTTTGACCTTATGGAAATACCTATGTACGATCTAGACAAAAACATTTGGACAATATTAGTGCCAAAAGCGGATGACACCATAAAGAATATAGTTACACCGTTACCTAGGAAATGTCATAGTGCAGTGCAAGTAGAGACAGACAGTGGTGTGCAAGTTTTTGTTGCCGGTGGCACTGATGGGCAAGGAGTGTTTGAAGACATATGGAGGTTAAATGTATCCAATTTACAATGGCATTTAATGCAAAAGACGGCCTTACCTCACCCCTTGTACTTCCATTCCTCAGCGGTGACATCATACGGTTGTATGTATGTGTTTGGTGGTATAGAACCTAAAGAAGATGCGACATGTAGAAACAATAAGCTATACAAAGTGTGGTTGTGCATACCGAAGTTAAGTGAAATATGTTGGGAGGCAGTGGTAAATTGCTTTCCGGAAATGACTGAACGGGATCGAACGAATTTATTGTTGATGGGAATCCCGAGGCATTTTGTAGACAGGTTACATCCATATTACTAGATGTAGTGGTCACACAGCCCCACCACACATCTGATGGTAGTATTTGGTTGGTGGTTGATAACCTATATGTGGACTGGGCCTACAATAGCATATTGGCTCAGTGTGTACTATATCATCCCAAAATAATTCTCCAAAAACTTTATTTATATTATGACCATTGACTGTTTTATTGTTACATCAGCGCCAGTACGCACAGACACGTCAGGCTTTATTAGGGTGGGTTTCAACTTGGTATCTATTACATGACAAAATGTTTCATAGTTGACATTACCAGCAGTCATAGTATCAGTCAATTTTATATATAAAGCTTGGGCTTGCGAGTTGCTCGGCCGTCGTAATTAAGAATTTGTTCTCGACGTTGCAGCATGTGTGGTTGTATACATCAGATGCGCGTTCCTCGACTAAGCAAAGACTGACCTTATAATCTCCTGACAGTTCGAAAAACAAGAAGCGTTACAAAATGGCCGCCAAGGCTACTACTACTAAACTATTCTTACATTTTTTTTTATGTATTCGGCAAATAGTCCGAATTTAATACAAGCATTTTAATATTAACGTATTCGTTAAAGTACAATTGAAGTAACGTCCCTCGTCCTAAGAATTTAAATAATAATTTTTCGTTGCATAATAAAATCAAATATTTTTTTCAATTATTTATCACATTTTTTTGTACACGATTTCATAATAAAAATTAAATTGCGCTAGACAAGCGTGTATCAATGAATTGAAGAAATTCGATGACGCGGTAGCTCAATTGGTTTAGCAGTGAACGTGGTGGACACAAGTTCAAGTCCCACCGGTGTCATGAAATTGTTTATTATCAAATATACTTAATAATAAAACTGTTGTATTTTACGTTTTAACATAATAAATTATGACTCTAACGAGTTCCTCTATGTACAGCTTTAATCTTAAGTTTTTATATCTCCAAATATTTGTGTTCACTTAACTATTTTTGATAAGCTAAGAGCTAGGTTTATATCGGACACAGTTTCTTGTGAGACCTGGCAATTAATTTATTTGGCGCTATATTGAAAAATCATAAGTTATCTTTATTCTTTACAATAGATGGAATATTTTAAGAGCGAAGTATGTCAACACGACATATTGATCTATGTATGAAAATAAAATGATATGTATTAACTGAAAAACCGGATTTGTATTTATTTAATAGTTACTCAACGAATTGAATTGTTTTGGCACGAAAGTACATGAGCGAGGCTAACAATAGGCAGTTTATCAATTTTGTGAAACAATCATAGTGAACCTTACAGTAATTATTAGTTGTTATATGTCATAAAATGCCCTTTTTACAGTCGGGTAAGTATTTATAGGAATCTTTTTGGTATAAAGCCTGCGATTTAATGCCTATATTTCTTCAAATGAATAGTTAAAATATTTAGAATATAATATACCTCTTTGGTGATATAAACTTAGAAATCTATACTAATATTATAAAGCTGTGTATTTCTCCTATGTTTGTTGGAGTCTTTATCGAGAAAGGCTTTAGAGTTTAGGCAATAAACATCAGGCTGTGACAAATAGAAGCAATGATAAATTCGGACAAATTATTCAGGACTTTACACATCTTGGAGTGTTTCTATAATGTGCATTACAAAAACAGTTAAAGATATCCAAAAGTATTAAGTAAGTAATTGTATCTTTTCGGATGGCCTTACGAGAACCATTTTTATGGGAACGAATTTTGGTGAAAATACTACATTTGGCCTTTGCCAGGTCACTAGTGCTTTAAAAAGTGTAAGAATATGTGCTAGCAGTCTCACTATAATAGGCAGAGTGGCCTAATAACAAAAAACATGATTTTCAATAAGGTGAAAAAATGCGCAATTAACTAAGGCGAAAATAAATTATTACTATTATTTGTGTAAGAATTATGTTAACAATAAGACTAAAAATATAAATAAGTCAAGTCATAAAATTACAGTTAGGCTACTCTGCCTCTAGCGCCCTCATATAACAACAAACTTTAAATAAGCTGTAAGAAGTTATGTTTTCTAACATTTTGAAAGAGATTACCTTATTTTTAAAAAATAAAAAAAACGTAAATTGTATGCGACTTTCGTACTTCAAATTAAAATACTTGATCATTTACGAAAGCTCGCGAAGAGCAGTCCAATTAGCCCCTAAAAGTATCGCGTGTTAACCGCGTTCAATTTCATTTTCAAGGGTAAACGTCGAACGCAACAAGTGCGCGGTTCGGGCTTGCGTCCGCCGGTCCCGCTTCGCGCCAATTCACGGCCGCAGTGCTAGGAAGCACGTCGCGGTCGGGACACGGTCCACCCATCGCGCCAAAATGTGCTAACAACGAATCAACTAGAAATGGACATGAACGCCAGCAGTCCGACACCACACCGGTCGCCGACGCCGGAACTGCACGCGACCTATACCAGCTTTGAGATCTTAGTGGCTCTCGTGGCGGTGGTGGGAAACGCTATGGTGATACATGTGTTTAGGAGAGACAGACGGCTACGACGCCGCACGAACTACTATATAGTGTCGTTGGCGATCGCTGACTTCTTGGTGGGTTTGTTGGGGATCCCTTTTGCGATTTTGGCCTCCGTTGGCCTTCCTAGGAACTTGTACGCTTGCCTCTTCACTGTGTCATTGCTGGTTATGCTCTGCACGATCAGCATCTTTTGCTTGGTCGCGGTGTCCGTGGATCGTTATTGGGCGATTCTCCATCCTATTGGATACTCTAGGAATGTTAGGACCAGGACAGCTATATGTAAGTAATATGTTATGCAATTTGTAAATATATTGAGTAAATATTGTTGCGAACGAAGAGTTGTCAAAACGCCACTTAAACGGTTTAAAACGCGATATATTAGTGAAACTTATTTGAAAATTATTTTTAACTTCGGTCCGACGTTTAGGATGCTTTGCAGGAGCTGTGCTGCTGCAAAGCTAATATATCGCGTTTTAAACCGTTAAAGTGTTTTATTTAAAAATGAAGGCCTTCTCCAACCTTTAAACATCAATAAACCCTCTCTTATATATCAATTTTATATAATATAAACATTTTTATGTTCTCCATTTAACCATTACTGCAAAGCATCTAAAACGTGGGGCCGTAGTTAAAATAATTTTGAAATAAGTTTAAGTAATATACATCGCGTTTTAAACCGTTAAATTGTTTTATTTAAGTGTGTACCACTCGCGTAAACTACAGACAGTGTTTAATATAGACACATTCAAATTCGTTTATTTACCTACAGACGTAAGGCACTTTAAAAGATTCTTTCTCCTGTGGTTCAAATGTGGATTGTTTTCCCGGAATTCGAACTCAGAACCTCTTTTGCTTGACGCTATTTTATTCTTTAGGCTACTCTAAGTTTAAATGCACACTGAGTTAATGCTATTGCATGTTTAAGTTTAACTTAAAACGTCGAGTAACTTAATCTCGATAGACTGCTGCGGCGAATTCATTTATGTGTAAAAGCTTGTAAAAGTTTCCCTTTATCCCACAAGCTAGTCGCAATAAAACTTATTTCATAACTCGGAGCAACAACAAGAACTCATATTAACCTAACAATCGGTCTTTGAGATCGTATAGCAAAAGTGGCCAGTATTTTTATGAGGTATTTATTACACTGTTTTTATGATAGAGGAGGACAGACAAGAATGCCATTTGATAGTAGGTGATATACCACAGGCATATAACATGTAAAAAAGTTGCGCTGCCGTCCTATAAAATAGGCGCTTTAGTTTCAGTCTACGGATTGCCGAATGTCCACAGGCAATTAGGCCGACATCGCCTCACCTTCCTTCAATCGACTCCAGGTCCGGCGTCGTCTGCAGTGAAAAAAAATTCATGAGAATAAAGTCCTTAAGAAAGTGTTTGTTTTCAATGCATTGTTGTGTTTAGCTTTCCAGTCATTAAAATTAGATTTAATGAGCCAAGAGATATAAATAAATTAATCGTTTGTTGCCACTTAATGACAGGTATCTTTTGAACCTATATTTATCCTAAACTTAACCCGAAATACAAACAAAATACAGATGGTGGTAAAAACAGAAAGTTGTTCAGCTGGCAATGTGAAAACTGAGCTGATTTTCACTCTAAATCGAATGCTTAATTACTCGTAATTACTAACGAATGTAATAACTTCAGAGTAACCATAGACTATAAAAAGTATGACAGCAAATCCGGACTTACCGAAGACTAGATACAATAAATGTATATTATAATATCTATTTTTTCAGTTATTTCTAGTTTACTGTGTTATTTAATATCGAGCATAAACGAGGGATAACGTGTTTCTTTTATGTATATACATTTTTCACCTTTTAAATCGTTAAATGGACAGACGGACAGAAATCTTAGTAGTAGGGATCCGTTTTTATCCTTTGGGTACGGAACCCGCGGGGATAATACAAACACCGTCCTTTTCTAAACACACACAATATGTTCCCGGGGTTGAAAAATGTCTATATCGGTGGCATTGCAAAGAGACACCTAGATCGTGTTCTAGTACTAGATGTAGACATTCTTACAAGTCATGTCATTTATTGAAAGAGGTCAGGCGTAGTTATCTCTTATAGCTGACTAGCTGTGACAGTGACTTCGTCCGCGTAGAATAGTAATTTTGGACATCAATATTTACTCTTGCAAACCTCCGTTTCTTCTTTTACAAATTTAAGCTGTTATCTACGAGGTCGGTCGCGTCTCGTCGTTCTTGCAAGGTAATCTTAAAAAAATAGATATATAACTAGTGTCGCGAACATTTTTTCTTTAAAGAGGAATAATTCTGCATAAATATTTTATAGGTATCTTGTTCCGTTTTCGCAGCGTACATATTGGAAACCCAATATGTTAACCCTTTCCCGTTTTCCACATTCTTCGCTGTTTCTTCGCATCTATTAGTAAGATTTCGATGTGTTGAAGCTTATAGCTCTAACCAACACAAAAATAATTTTTCAATTCGAGCCAGTAGTTCCTGAGATTAGCGCGTTCAAACCAACAAACTCTAGCTTTATACATTCTTATAGATTGAAAGAGGTCAAACGTAGTTATCTTTTATAGCCGATTTATTTCATAACGACCGTTTCTGTATTCCTATAGCGTAGTAGTTAGCCTATAGCCTAATAGTTTTATTGTATTGTTTAATGTCATTCAAAATTCGTTTCTTGGTCCACGATGGCATTACAATTCATCTTCCGGGCTGTACAATTTTTAATCTATACTAATATTATAAAGCTGAAGAGCTTGTTTGAACGCGCTAGTCTTAGGGACAACTAGTTTGAAGTGAAAAACTATTTATTCATTAAATTATTGGTTAGGTTGACTATAAAAGATAACGCTGCGAACAATAGAAGCGAAGAAATAGTAGGAAATGTGGAAGATACAGGAAAAATATTATTCTTTGATGGTTACCGTTGCGTGCGTTGCGAAAGCTGTTCAAGATATATATATACATATTTTTTGAGTATGTATTAAAAATGGTTCTATATTAAATGATTAAGAAAATATCGTCAACGGTACATGTCTATGATAGTTCTCGAACAAACCCGCTGTCGCACTACGTCTTTCGAACAAAGTTTTTAGATATTATATATATTATTATTTTAAGTTTTAAGATATATAAATTCATTTTTTTCACACAAATCGTCTCATAGCCGTATACTTACCAATAAATTATCTCGTGTTAATAGTTTCTAAAACTGTTTGATGTGTCAAATTTAACTGCAAACATCAAAGACAAAATTTTAATGAAAACGAAGTGTGATGTTACTAGTTTGATAATATTATTAATAGAATTGTTTTTGATTATGACCTTTTTTTTGGTTATTTTTGTAGCGAATTATCTTTTAAACTAAATATTAAATCTACAAATTAATCGTTGGTGAATGATGTTTTTTTTATGACATAGGAGAAAAAGCATGGGTTTTATTAGATAGAAGATGGATTTCCGTTGCTATTTAATTTAAAGTTATCGACCTATTTTGGCTTTGTATATTTGTTTTTTCTGTCCCTGTGTGTGTCCGAATTAGGCACTACCAGAATCTATTCCTTGGTAAGACGGAAAAATAACTTTTTTTCATATTTATTAGATAAACGTGATTCTAGGCTTATAGTACTTAGTTGTATGTTTTTTTTCACGAATAGTAGATATTAAATTGGTGATAGCAATATCGAAACTCCATTTCGGTCACCGCTGCCCACGGATAGAAAATAAACAGAAGTTAATATCAGTGTTTTAGTACCAATTTGTGTGTATAACATGCTATACAGCGTCATAGTATGTTGATGTATGTAATTTCTTTCACCATGTGTTGGGGTTCGCTTGTATACAGTAGAAATTATGGAATTATAATTACTTTTTATATTATTTTCGGACATCCCCGTATGGTACCAGACGCAATGAATAAATATTATATCAAAATGAATTTAGCCATGTTGGAGTTAAAGAACAAATGACTACACCATATATACTACTATTCTAAATTATCTTTGGCAGTCCTTTCTATTCGAGATCAATAAACCCTCCGGATTCAATGAATTTATGGGCATTGGGGATTCTATCTTATACATATATTAACATATTATATGGACCGTAAATCTTAATATATGAAAGTTTTGTTTGTTACGCTCAGATTGAGGCTCACTTATAAGAGTAATTTTCATTTCAGTGTCACTAAGAAATGATTTTTTAATGACAGACGATCATAGGGTGCACTCGATGGAAGGTGATATACCCCAGCCATAGAACATCTTAATTAAATGCGCTGCCGCCCTATGGCTCAGGATTTCCGATGACATACTGAAACCGAAATGCGATTAAATCAAGTTTAATCATCTTTTATCATCTGTCAACAGTGGTTCGTGACACATACGGAATCTTGATTTGCCCATCACAAATTTGAAATCCCGATTCCACACGAAGTCTAACATGTTTCAGAAAAGATATAAACGTTGGACCAGGCGGGAATCGAATCAACGACCCGCTAATTAATAGCCATACGTCTATAGTTTACGCGAGTAGTACACATTTAAATAAAACACTTTAACGGTTTAAAACGCGATATATTAGTTAAACTTATTTGAAAATGATTTTTAACTTCGGCCCGACGTTTCGGATGCTTTGCAGCAGCCGTGGTCACGGGGAGACATACGTCGCTAACATTATACCAACGAGCCTTGTTGGTATCAGGGCTTAGTTCATATATAGAGTCTATAGTTTACGCGAGTAGTACACATTTAAATAAAACACTTTAACGGTTTAAAACGCGATATATTAGTTAAACTTATTTGAAAATGATTGTTAACTTCGGTCTACCCGTGACCACGGCTGCTGCAAAGCATCCGAAACGTCAGGTCGAAGTTAAAAATAATTTTCATATAAGCTTAACTAATATTTTTCATTTTAAATCGTTAAAGTGTTTTATTTAAATCATATATAGAGTGTCAAATAGTTGAAAGTTAGTTTGTGTGGTATCTTGTGTTAATTTTGTTTTTTTTTTTAATTATTGACCAGGCCCGTTTCAGGATAAACTGTGAATTGAATTAAACATAGCCAAAGTATTTAAGACTTTCTTGAATACCTAAAAGCTAACTTTAGCTTTTTAAGGTATCACCATCATATTTTACATATTTTTTTAGTTAAGCCGCCATTTCGTCTCAAATAAAATCATGTATGCCATATTCTCTTTACATTTTAATACGTCACGTGTAAATAAAAATCGCTTCATTCATTTTTTTCGAAACTTTTAATCGATTTCCCCAAAGCAATTAG